TCTACACAGCTGAGAAGTGTCACTCTGGTTTTCCAGGACTTCCAGTAACAGAAGCAATCTCTACACTGCAAATCTTCTATTGAGTGTTAGTGATCTTCACATCAGAACATACTTCAGTCTTGTAACAGCCTACCTTACAGAAGGAGACAGGGATTAGACAGCAGCAGCACTATTCCAATTCTATTCTATTAAATAATAAATAGGCCTTCTATTAAATAATAATTCCGAATTTCTCCTCCAGAGGATCACCACACAGTTGGAACTACTATTGCTAAGACTACTTGCAAGAAGCCAAGAAGGGAACAACCCAGTTGCACCCCACCTGAAATCTCTAAAAGCAGCAGTGGAGTAGCGTGATTGGTAAGCAGATTCAGCTGGATGGTGGGAAGCATGAGAGCAGCCTGATTCTGATGTTTTAGGGATAACAAAGACTCTAATTGCTTTTCTTTATTATTCTGAAACTAAATACCCAGATAGCCAAACAGCTAAATCCACAACCTAACTAATGTTTGTGCCTATTACTCAGCAGCCATACAAAGGGGCTTCCCAGGAATTTGCTTCAGCTCAGACAAACCTGGCAGCTGGTTTGAAGAGGCCACTGAGAGGAGAAGGAGGGGGAATGGAAGGAGGGACAAAGTTAGAAAGAACAAGGAGCAAAACCTTTGTAGCTATTAGAGTGCAGTTCCTTCTTCCATTCAGAAGGGAGCATGATGTTTCTGTATCACACCATTGCTTGGCTTCAGGCCTGGAAACCCCCAGTATGCTGTTGCTGCGTGTCTGCTGAGGAGAAACCCTGTGCCTCCATGCCTGTTGCTGGCAGCTTGCCTCTGTGCTCCATTCTGTCAGGGCTGGTGTTGGCTCCGTGCCTCCCTCACCACCCTGGCCTGTCCTCTGTGCACAGTGAGGGATGGCACTGCTGGGGAGCGCAGCACTTCATTTTGGAGCTGACATCATGGGGACATAGCTGAGATGAGCTATACCGCCTTAGCTTAAAGCACCCAGTCCCTATGGCACAGCCAATTAGACCCACCACTGAAATCCAGCTGGAACCTCCACAGAAACTTCCCTCCTCAAATGAATTACGTTTGGGAAACTAGTGCTGATGTGAGAACCTCCCACAGGCTGCCTACAGGCACCAGGAGTGCTGCTGAAGGTGACCAAGCCCTGCCGTGCAGCACCCCCTATGGTCTTGATCCTCAGACTGGCACTGCTAGGAGCAGACACCCACAGAGCATGGGCTCAGTGCATCACTCCAGGCTGGGGAACACAGCTCGGTGCTTCTCAGTGTCCCACTCTCCCTGGGCCATTCTCCTCCACACACTCACACCTGCTGCTTGCATAGATGCTCCCCAGGCCTGGCCAGACGGGCACAGAAAGAGCCACAAATTGATTGAAAGGAGGAGAACTCTGCCCTCTGTGCTGTGGGAGTCGGTGATCCTGGAGGAGAACTTATTGTGGTGGATAAGATAGCTGTAAATAACTGTAATGGGGAAGAAAAGGGAAGCACTGCCGTATCCTCAAGAGGATTAATGAAGGGCATAGGGACAACCAGGGAGGGGCCCACAGGCAGATCCTGCCCTTGGTGAGCAAGTGGCTGTGGCTGGGCTGGACCAGGCTCACACACCAGCCAAAGGGAAGGTTTGCTGGCACACAGGTACAAGGAAACTCCCTCATCTCTTGCTCATTGCTCACTGCCATTTAATGATGGGATGAGTCAAAATCTTGGAGCCTTCAAGGAGCCATCCTGGACGCTTTCCTCCCACAGTTGCTGTGATTTCACACTTGCCTGCAGAGGGAGACGGTTCCCCCTTATTAGCCAAATTTTGTTGACACAATTTGGTGCCATCACCTTCCCAGACTGGAAAAACCAGCCGAGGAGCTGATGTGGTAGCTTTGGGCTGAGGATAGGCTCTCCTGTTGGGATGCTGACATGGAAGGCACACCAGGACCCTCCTGCATACAAAGCACCGGGACTGATCAGCACTACTTTATGAGCTGCTTGCAAATCCTGCTGTGCTCCTTCACATCTGCCTGTCCACAGCCCAGTCTGACCCTGGAAAACACATTCATTTGAAGTCCCAAGGTGCCTGCAAGTGAGGCCTGGTGGACTCACAGGGCCACCTGTCCCAGAGCAGAGCAGGATCCCCATATGGCTGGATGAACTCGAAAAGCTTCAGAAGTGTTTTCCCTGTGCCTCCCTGCCCACAGAGCCCTGGCAGGAGTTTGCGGGCAAAGATGAGACTGCCAGCACTCCAGCTGGGCTCCCTGTGAACCAGCAGAGGTGGGTGAAGGCAGAAGAGGACTCGGCTTTGGGAAAGTATTGAGTCATATCCTACTTCTCCTCAAGGGGGAAAAAACAGGGGGAGGATTTGTTGCCTGTTTGGTGTTCTTGTGTATGGCAGAGTAGGGCACACAGCAGCCAAGAAGCACCATATCCAGAGAGGAGGAACCAGGGCTGTCTGACGGGCAGAGCTCACCCCATTCATTCCCCAGCACAGGTTTTGGCCCTACCTGTATGTGTGACAGGCTGCTCATTATTGGTAATTGAACTTAATAACCAGCTGAAAGCAGTGTTGTACTTTCCCTCTGTTTTCAACACTGAAAGATTAATGTGGAGAAGTCCAAACAGACAAAGCTGTGCCTTTAGCAGGAACACAGAATAGTTCAGGAACTTAGGAATAAAGCTGGAAAGCTAGAGAGTCCTCATCTTTGATAGATAAATCCAAATACCTGCAGAGAACCACCCCATTACTCATAGAATAACTCCTGGCCATTTCCAAATTCATACACTGCTCTCCCTGGGGACGGCTCTCTGGGGTACATTCTGTATGGCCACTGCCTGCTCATGAGGTCCTTGTGCAGGGGGTTGTGCTTTACTTCATTAAAAGTAGCTTTCTCACTGAATTGTTGAAATGTCTTTTCATATGCATATTTTAACGCCCTGGCTGAACATGCTTCCTGTCTCTGCTGTATGTTTGGAAGTGAGAGTAGTCATGAAAAGCTTAAGGACATCACTATAGCAGACAACACGCTGGTGGTGCCATACTTTTATTTTACTGCCTTGAATCTCCTTCTGAATCTGCAATCAGCAAGAAGGCAGCGTTGCTAGAAAGCTGGAAAACAATCTTCAGGCTTTTGTAAAACTGCACAGTCCTTGGGCCATAAAATTCTCCCTACTCTTTCACTTGCAAGCAAAACAAAGTGCAATTCTCCAGCCCCCAGCAGGCCTTTGTGCCCCTATTGATGACAACAAAGCCACCACAGAGCAGCCTGCAGCCACACTGCAGAAATGGCACCAATATATTTCTCCCCAGAAAACACCAACCTTGAAATTTAAACTTGGAGGCAGAAAGGTGCCACGTAGCCAGTGGTTCCACCACCCATGCACACTCCGCTATTTGTTATAGCAGCTCGTCTTGCTCTATTATCCCCCACTGGGAACAATTGCATTCCATGTCCCAGTCTCAAAGCCACATAGGCCTTGCTTTGTAGCAGCCCAGCAGGTCGCCAAGCCCATGACTGCCTGCCGTCAGCCTTGGGTACCCCAGGAGCTGTCAGAAATTTCAGGAAGAACAGCAGCAGTGTAGGGTCACAGCCTGTTCTCACTCACCCTAGACAGGAATGGTGTCTGAAACTTCTACTGCAGCCCTGCTGCATGCTGAGAGCTGGGGAGGGAAGGCAGCACTGCCAAGTGTCAAAGAAGCACCGAGTCAGAGCTGGGCAATGCCCCAACCCTGGGCATCCCTGGAACCCAGCCAAACCGCTGCTCACTAGGTTACACACTGTGCTGCACCTCAGCTGGAATGAGAAACACACACAGAGGCAATCAGGAGCAGAGCCTGGAAATGCCAGCAAGGGCAGACGTGGCAGTGAGGTTACTCTCCAGCTTGCGGCAGCTCTGCAGAGCCCTCAGCATAGGGCATCACCAGCAGGGCTGTGAGCCAGTGCTGTGGGAAGGTTGTGCAACTGCACCCAGGTGTGGGTTTGCCTCAGAGCCCTGAGTGAGTAAAAACACGTGGGTATCACTCCACACCACATCCCTGATGGGAACAAGAGCGTGTCTGCTCACGTTGAAATGAGAGGGACATTTTCTTCAGAATGAGCAGAGGTCATTGCTTCTGTGAACAGCCTGTGCATGGCCCACTGCCTGCGTGCAGCTCCACAAGCTACTGGCTGATCTTCCTGTGGCCCAGGCACACACGTCTGCTCCAAATTCTTCTTTTCCTACAGGGTTAGAGGTTCCACAGTCAAGGATGTGTTACAGGTGGAGCAGAGTAGGCAGTATGAGAGCTGTGGGAAGGCCAAGATAAGCTGCTGACAGCTGTCAGTAGGGGCCCAGAAGTACATAGAGGAGTGGCAGTGGTGACAAAAAGGGAAAAAACAAGGCTCAGGGACTCGCATTAAACCAAGACTGGAGCACCGCTACATGGAGGAAAGAACATAACTTTATTTAAAAAAAAAAAATAATAATTTAGCTCAAATACAAAGAAGATTGCCAAGGGTTGAAAGAAGCAGGAAGAACGATATTTACCCCCAGAACTTTGAACAGACCGATTTCATTCTCTTTTGAACAATACTTCCAGTGCCCCTCCCTGCCCACAGCTCTGCTCAGGTCCTCACCTGAATGAAGGAATCCTGGCTCTCAGGGCTCCTAGTAACAAGCCAGAGGAGAAACAGAACCAGCCTTAAACCAAACGCTATTCCTACCTCCAGAGTTACCACAGAGATGCAGAAAGAGAGAAGAGCAACACCAGCATCTAAACCAACGCGCAATAAGAAGGGAACAGCTCACGCTCCTCCCTAGAAGTCTCCCTACCCATGCCCCACTCCCAGCATCCTGGCCAAGTACTTCCACCCATGCCTGAATTCACATCCCCGCCCACCAGTGCAGTACACAGAGGTGTGCACATCGGCCTTCGCAACAGTCCTCCCTCCCCCCTGCTCTTCTCATCCAGACCTGCTCATCTCTCGCCTCTCGCTGTGCCTGCGTGCCATACATTTCTTGGCATGGCAGCAGCACGTTTCACACTGAAGGGATGTGCCCTAGAACACACTGAGCCACTATTGCAATTTCTTCTGTTCTGTGAAGTGGCCTCTCACACAATTGCCATTCTGATAGACAGGGCTGGCCGCCTTCCTCCTGCACCACACCACAGACTTGTAGAGGACAAATGCCATGCTGGCCAGGCACAGTAGGAGGAGAGCCAAGATGTCCAGGCAGAAGTACTCGTACAAGGAGAGGTCGTAGACAGCAGGGCGGAGGTACGGTGCCCCGTCATGACGGAGGATGTACTCCAGCCAGTACACTGTCCTGTTGAGAGCGTGCATCGGTGTGTCCAGGTGCAGAGCAGAGATGAGTTTAGCTGCTTTTCTGTAGCTGCAAGGGAAGAAGACAAGAAATCATTGTTCTGACAGGGGCTTCAGAGCTGAGAAGTGGCCTGATCCATCCAGCGGTGCTTTCGATGAGCAGGTGTTTCCTTGGGCCAGAGGCGCATTTCCTCCATGATTTTCTTTGTATCTGCTGTGAAAGCCATTCTGATGGCAGAGAGCATGTTACACGTTAGCAAGGCTCCCTTAGTTCAAGTTCCTCAGTAGGGGGGCTGCTGAGTGACTGCAGGCAGATCGTAGGTGTCTAAGGTCAGCCTGTGCCAGTATACCTTGTCCAGCACCAGTCACATCTGGTGACCGAGCCAAATCCTTCAGCCTGCCAACTGCTAACACCCTAGCTACTTACTCTGAGGTCAGTAGTAGGGGCTCCTAACAGCTGATTTAAAAAATTATGATAATAAAGATCTTGGATGGCACTTTAACCACTATTTGCTTCTGTCATATTAGGCGGTGAGTGCACTGTGTCACAGTGCCACAGCAAATCTCAGAAAGGCACCAGCCCCTGCACACAATCATCACCAAGGATGAGCTCGATGCACCCGAACACCTTACCTGGGGTCAGTGATAACCGTGACAACAGCCTGGTAAAGCTCCTCTTCTGTCACACTGTTCCAGTCCATGAGGATACCCATGCCCTTCGCCTGCACTCTGGTCATGATGTCAAACTGATCTCCATAGAATGGGAACCCCACCACTGGCACACCGTGATAAATGGCCTCAAATATTCCATTCATCCCACAGTGACTGACGAAGGCTTTCACATTGGAATGGCCTGCAGGCAGAGAAACAGCAGCAGGTCAGTGCCTTCTGCACCAAAACAGGGCTATCAGTGGCTTCTTCAAGGCACACAGTTTCTGTGCGCTTAGTGAAAGCCAAGCATGCTGAGCAGAGAGATTGAACATTAATCTCTCCTGCCCAAAACTTGCTGGACACAGCCAAGAGGAGGTGGGAGATAGCAGCCGAGGTACAGCTTCAAAGCAGGTGTTAGACGAAGATCAGGTGTTAGGCTTAACACCTGATCTTAAGGTGTTAGGCTTACAGATGGTACATGCAACAAGTGAGAGATTTTGACCCATACAGATGCTGTTTTCCTTGTACGTCTTTGCTGTAGTTTGGACATGTTGCTAGTGGCATACAAGTACACACATATACACACACACACACACACCTTGCCTTACCTAGCAGGTCATTTTGGGGCAGCCAGTCCATCATCAGTGTGTTCTCACCCAGGTTTCTTGGCTTCTGTCCGAAATATCTGTAGGGTGAAGTCAAGAACAAGATGGGAAAAGACACACATGCAATTACAAATTCAATCAGATCAAGAGAGGGAAAGGAAACTGTGATTTTCATCCAACTGAAGTTATAAGGAAGCCCTTGCCCTCCTCACCTCCACACCACCCGCTGTGGGAGGCGGGCAAACGCGCCAGCCATCTTTTCCACCAGGTCAGTGGGACGAGCTCGGATCCCAATGCCAAAGGAGACGACAACAACACCTGCATCTGCTGCTTCCACCCAGAGACGCAGATCCTGTGGGTAAAACACACACAGATGCCTTGAAATCTTATTGGAGAAAGGCTCTCCCCCCTGCTTCCTCTGCCAGTGGAGAACAGCCTATGGAAAAGATGAAGCCAAATCCATCTCTTTTTAACTGGGGAAGCAAGGAAACTAGGAGACATCAGCCAGTACAACTGCTGTGAAGCAGATGAAACATTCTCCTATATGCTCTGCTGGGCACCTCTTGCTATGGATTCTGTCTGCTTTCAAGTTCCCCGTGTACCAGCTCACCATCAGAGGCATTTTAGGGAAGTTTCTCAAATTGTCTTTGAATATGATACTTTCTTGAAACAAACAAACAACACATTGTCTAAGAACATGAAGGGTAAAAAGAACACAAAAACTCACCCTGTTTTTAAGAAAACAATTAAACCAGAATTTTTTACTAGCAGTACCTACAATGTTGAGTATCATAGGTATATAGGAGTTACAAAGCAGATTTTAGTGTTACTCTCTGGGGATGTTTGCCCTTTCTCAGGTACTTTGGGACTTGAGCCTTTCTTTGCAGAAGAGCTCTAAACCCCACCAGCAGCCAAGAATCACGATGATTTCAAAAAGGGGCTTTGGTTTCTCACTTCTCTTGAATCCCATGTTTCCTTTTGAGTAATACAACCACTAGAACTGTTAAGGAAGAGGAAGTACTAGCTTGGCTTTGCTGGATAGCACTTCAGTGACTCACGAGGCAGAGGATTACACTGTCCATTATAGTTAGGCCTTCACATCTGGCTTTCAGAAATAGTATTAAAGTTGCTAAGGGAAGTATGATTGACCACCAAAGATGCTTAACTCTCAAATACATATCTATATTCCACTGTGCCCTAATTAAAGGAACTCTCTGCCACAATGTTTCAGATGAGGAAATAAATTCTTTAATTACATAACCCAGCTCCTGCAGAGATGGGAAATATCTTAAGCTACACCTAGATCTACCAAGGGCCTCTCTCCTGTTGCCATCCCATAACCTGGGTATCAACCTGCCCACATGCCTGCTGCCACCTACCACCTGGCTCTGGACCTATCTCCATCACTCTTCCCTTTGGGTGCCCTGGGCTCTGGAAGTCATGAAGCACATGAGTAATGCCACAGCAAACAACTCCCTTCTTTATAAGGCAGGCGTGTATGCGTCCAGATTGGACCAAGCTAATGTTTTGCAAGATCTGCAGGGCAGTCACTCTCTGACACAGATTTTGGAGCATCCTACATGAATTGCATTACCTGCACGCTGTGTCACACTGGAAAGGGTAATGTGCAGCCATACTTATCTCAAAGACTTCTGATTCAAAGTACCCAATCTCATTTCCTCCTTTTAACTTCAAAAAGGGAATCCACAGTCACAACTAAAGCTGCCATCAGAGACCTTCACAGGCATTTAATCAGGTGAAACTTGAATCTTATCTCTATTTCAGTCTATCAGTTGGGACAGCAGGACAACCCAACTGCCTCAGTGCTATTATCCAAGCCTATTTCCCCACACTGTTTGTAAAAGTGGTAAAGCAATGAGAGGAATGGGAGACAGGTCCTTCTCCATTCCAATGCTGTCCTTCATTTGGAGGCTTTATGGGTTTGTCCTTCTTAATTTATTACTGGGGATAGAGAGGTACAGATCAGGGAAAGCCTCTGGGATGCCTGGGGAGTTTTCCTCAGGGCTGGCACTTAGAAAAGAGAGAACAATACATCTTGGTTTTGTATACTTTGGGACTCCACAGTGAATTTGATAAGAAAATAAACACAGCTCTCTGCTATTTCTTAGGGCTACCTGCTTGTAGGCAGAAATATCTTGTGAGAAACTGGATTAAGGAAGAAATTCTGGATTCATTTAAGGCAGTGATGAAGCAACAAAGACTGATTGTTCTTCCTACTTCCTCTTAAAACGTAAGAACAATTTACTTGTGAACTACTTCCAAAGAAAATACTGCCATTACAGGACACATCGTTTTACACTGATAACACAGCTGACTCCTTCTTCAAGACAGACAACTTAACTCAGTACCCTTCCTGCAGACCCACAGTCCTCAGTGCTCCCAGTCTCCTTACTGCACACTGGCACCAAAACAGCCTCACAGCACTTACATAGCTCTACATCAGATTTGAACCAAGTATCTCCCCAGCTTAATAGGCAACCATGGCTCAAAGCTTTCCTGCACTTACCACTGGAAGAGGCTTTGCAGGCTCAGCAAGGATGCCTCCTGTGAAAATGACATGGGGGAGTGTTGGCCGTGGAAAGTCCAGCACTACATCATTACAGAGGAAGAAGAGGCTTGATCCATGGACAAGATCTAGCATGGATATCTTGGGCTCCACCCCATGCTTCTCCATGAGATGTTCAAACTTGGGGAGGATGACCAGCTTTGTAGCCACACGAGTGATCACGTAGACCAGGAGATTCCAAGTCCTACCAAAGAAGCTCATCCTGTCAGTCATCAGGGAGTTGAACTCAGGGACATAGGCAACAGGGGAAGTGGCACCAATCTCTGCTGGAAACCAGAAGCCAGTGGAGATCACAGCATATTTGACACCGAGGATATGAGCCAGGATAAAGCCACACATCTCATTGGGATCCACCAGCAGCAGGTCAAAGTGCTCATGCCGCAGTTTCTGCAGGAGGGTAGAGTTTCCCAGCACAAGGTCACAGTTTTCCAAGTACTTCTCCAAAAAGGAGAACATCTCCAGAGAGGTCATCTTCCCTTGGAAGACACGCTTTATCTTCTCCTGCACCCACGCATCTGCGCTCTGTGTGCTGAAGATGCCCCAGTATCTCTGCACGCGGAAGGCAGGCAGGTGGGCTTCTACTTCCCGAGCCTCATGGAGCAGCAGCACGGGGTCATGGCCCCGCTCAGTCAGTGCCTCTGCCACACGCATGAAGACTCGTAAGTGGCTGTCAAAGACGATGGTGGGCATGATCAGCAGCTTGGCACAGCGGCATGGCTCCAGGCTGAATGCAGCCAATAGGAAGAGAAAAGCAGCGGGGCACGGTAATGCCTTCATCTTCTTCACTGCAAGGAAAGACACGTGCCATTTATATGGTATGAAAGGCTCAGCCACACGCTTGGACAGCTAACAACTGAGACTACAGCTGCAATCCAGAAGCTCCTAAGGTGGGAGAGGGGAGCAGCGGGGATTTCACTAAAGGGAGGAGAAAGGAAAGAAAGCACAAATAAAACCAACAAAAATGTCAGATACTAGGGTGTACAACATGTGTTTTCCCGAAATTCAGAGCCTCTTTTCTGTGCCCAAGAATAGGTGGGCTGACTACAGAGAGGAGCAATCAGAAGGGCCCTGTGGAGTCACAGCACCAGCTAGGGCACCTGCAGCTCCATCCTTGTTCATCACTACAGGATCAGCACAGCTGAATTTCATTTCTATTTCTGCCTGCCTCCGAGACCTTAGTGGCCATGCAAGCTCTCCAGGAGGCCTGCACAGCCCAGCCAGACAGCATACTCTGCCTTTATCATTGCAAATCACCATGCTTGGTGCAGAAAGGGCAGGAGAGAGCCCAGCAGGACTAAGGTAAAAACATCAACCTCAGAAAGTACAGAAGGGGTCTGGGTGGAGAGCTGCCCCCTCCCCAGTGATGGATCAGCTGTGGGAAATCAGTGGAAAAGGCTGGAAAGATGAAACAGGTGCTGGAATATCCATGCAGTGGGAAAGAGCAACCCCTGAAAGCAGTCCCAGAGACAACGTGCAACACCCAGGGCACACTGACGCCCCTTAGTCACACTCCTACAGCTGTCACCCCATTCCCAGTTTAGTGAAACACACAGCATTTCTCTTGTGTAAGGGGTGTTGCTACATCACTGGAAGCAAATGCGCCTCACCCACACCTCATATTATTTTGGGAGAAGAATTACATGATAATTATTTGGGAACAGTCAGAAGCAGAGCCGTGTCCTGAGGACCCAGTTCAGACTTGCTGGGAAGGGGGTGGGGAAGGAGTTACAGTGGGAACAACTGTAAGTGGATGTAGGACAGCCTCACACACTAAGCCCCTAAGGGGCTACGGGGATGTGGTGAAGCAAAATGGGAACCAAGAGAAGCACCATAAGAAAAGCATCCCATCCCTCTGCTAGCAGGAACAGGCTGGCCAAAGCCAGCAGCACGGCTGCAGGCCCTGGGGCACCTCTCTGCACTGCCTGTGCCCAGAGAGGCACCTGTAGGCATTGGTACAGCCCAGCCCTCTGGTTGCATGAGCACAACTCCCAGAGCCACTGCTGGATTCAGATCAAATGGTCTTCAGCAAGAAACCACCAAACTGTGGGTTTCTGGAGTGCAATCCTGCTGGGGGTGTTTTCTCTGCTTCTGTGGTGTGGAAGTGTTGAGTTAGGGGCTGAAAAATGTGAGAAATAACAATGAAAGGAAAGGGAAAGGTTTGTGAGGAGGCAAAATACACCCTTCCCTTTGCATGACAAATGTTCAGCAAAATCACACAAACTGCACAGTTATCACTAAGAGCCCAGGATGCTTCCATTCGGGCTGAGATCAGCTCTGTGCTGTGCACTATGTTTGACAGGGAAGGACTTCAGCATTAATGGAATATATTATCAGTGTAACTGAAGCAACCAACAGCCACAGCTCTGAAGACAGATGATTCTTTTTGGGTGCTTTGTATCAGGCTGAAGCACTAAAACCTTCAGCAGCAATCAGTCCAGGTAGATGCCCACAAAGAAAGGGTGATGAGCAAATATCCCGTAGCAAGAAAGCTGTGCTGTACACCTCTCCTTACCCCTCTAGTATTTTCTATTGCCTGGTTCCTGCCTAGGAGTGGGAAACCCAAATGCACAGGGCTCCATTATTTCTTCCTCTGCTTTGTAGTCTCCACCTCAGTCTTGTCCACAGTAAGAAGAAGTATTTTTCCCTGTAAACTTCTCAGGAATTAACAAAGCACCAACAGAAATCTTCACCTGAGTGCTCTAAACTCCTAGAACAGGAAATCAAAGTTTGCCTCATCTGCTAGGTGTAATCAGAGAAAACAGCAGTATTTGCCACCACCAGGCTGATGGCAGCCACTCAGTTGTGACTAATGGATGGAAACACAAGTCCCATGCAGGCAGGCAGCTCAGAGCAGCACAGCTGCTGCAGGACAGCACTGTGCTACCAGTGGGAGCTGCCCTGGGAAATCTCTGGTGAAAACCTAGAAGATACAGTGCTGAACAAAGCCTTGTCTTGTTCTGTTGTTGTTGTTGTTGTTTTTATAATGCTGTTCACCTGCAGAATGAGCAGTGTGCAACGGGTCTGCTCAGAGCAATGAACTTTCCTGGTGTTTTCCGTTTGACATTCTCACAGCAGCCACAAGAAGTTCCAAGAGTAAGCAAAGCCCACATCTCCTAAAGATCAGAGGGAAAATCATACCAGCAACCAAGCTAACAGAGCAACCAATGCCTTGCACCACTTCCACACAACAGCATCAGAAGCTCATCAGAAGCCCCTCCTATTTTGGATGGAATGATGCAGTCCTGAATCAGGTTAGAACTTTTAGGACCTGGGGCCATTTCCAACAGCATTCCTGGGTCATTGAGGTGGTACAAAGGAAGCTGTGAAGGCATGGTGGGAATCTGTGAGCCAGCAGCAAGTTGGCAGCCTGTAGCTCACAGCAGGGAACATTGGCACCAAAGAGAACAGATGATCCTTAACAACCAGGAGGACAAATTAAAGTCTGTGTGTCAGTTTATCAGGGCATCTGGAAACACACTGCTCTGAGAACTCAGACTGCCCAGTGGTGCCCAGCAGCATACCTTTGCTTTCCCTCTGACCATACACTAAACCTGCCCATGTGATGGGATAGGTTTTCCCACTCCATATGCACAGACTTCCCAGGTGCCTCCTGCCGGGGTTGGAGCCGCTCTGTAGCACTGCCTGCTTCACCAGCAGGCTTGTAGGAAGGCTCTCCTCTTGTTTGCAACATGGTTGCAAGACCAGAAGCAGCTGAGATGAGGCTCTTTGAAAGCATCAGGGACAGCCAGCCAGAGCAGTTCCCAAATATTCACGTGAGCCACATCTTATAAGCACACATAACAGCTCGGTGCACGCTTTGGGCTAAAAGAGGGTTGTAGGATGCACAGGTTGAACAGGTTCCCAAGGTTGCAGAGGGAAGCAGAGGGCCAGGAGAGCAGAGAGCTTCAGAGGAGAGGTCAGAGGGATGGGAGGAGTGAAAGCCTACCCAGCACTGCTCTGTCATTTCGGCTCCGTGCTTTGGAGGAGCACCACATTAAAAGGAAGAAGTCATTAAGCATCCCTGGAGGTTGTGCAACCTGTGTAGGAAGCACCTGGGATTGATAAAGCCATGCCAGACAAGTTGGGCCATGTTTAGCAGAATTACAGAGGCAGAGAAGCTGAAGATAAGACTCATCTTCTGTAAAACCATTGACGCCTCCACGTTAAAAATAAAATAAAATAAAGTTAAATTAAAATAAAATAAACAAAACAAAAACCAAAACACACACACGCACACAAAAAGCCTACTTGTCACTAAGGATACAGCAGGAGTGGAATGGAACCTAGCCGAGCTACCATCAACTAGGGCTGGACTGGAGGAGGAAGGAGGGTAGGGAAGGTGCCCCTGAGATGCGGTCAACGAGAGGAAGATGCTGTAAGAGGCACTGAGGCTCAAGCGTCAGTGTATCCGGGCTCCGATTCGCACAGTGAGGCGGGCACCCAACCCGCGCCCTCCAGCAGCCCCGTGAAGGCGAAGGGGCTCCTGCAGCGCCTCATCCCTCCCACCGCCAGCGGAGCGCTCTGACACCCATGGCGCGGCACCGTCCCCGAGGCTCTCTTCCCGCAGCCCTCCCCGGACCGGCACCCACCTGCGCAGAGCCGCGGCCCGAACGGCACGGCGAAGGTAAGGGAGCGGCCGGCGCCCGCCCGCCTTCCCCTTTCATGCCGGCCGGCGGAGGGTGCGGGCGGGGCGGCCCCGGCCCCGGGGCTGCTCCGCTCCGCCACGCCCCGGCCCCGCCAGGTTGGGCGGGAGGAGCTCCGGGAGGGCCGTCCCCGTGGCCGCGGGTGGGCAGAACCGGCGTGCGGGGAGGGGGCGGCGCGGGGCTTCTGCAGCCGCACGGGCAGGCGGGGCCGGGAAGCCCTGTCCGGGCTGGGACGGGGGCAGGATGGTGGCTGTGCGGCAGGGCTCCCTTACCGGCACCGTACGTCCCATGGGAGACCGTCCTGTCTGTCCTGTTCGACGTTAATCGCGGCTCCACTGAAGCCGAAACGCCACGTGGGAAGCGGGCTAACTCGGGGACGGCGGCAGAGCTGCGATGCAGGCCGAGCTTGCCCTGCAGCTCCAGAAGCAGTCTCTCCTTAGGAGTGCCACAAAGCACTGCTCAGTCGATTCCAGCGGGGCCTGTGACATTCTGCGTGTGCTGCTGCGACCGCGGACGGCGTTACACCGCCTCCTCCTACAGCGCGTTCGAGATGGAGGGCAGTGGTTACGGACTGACTGATGGATGGCATTAATCACAACATGCCAACCAGCGCGGTACTTCTCTCCCGGCCTTCCCTGGAGGTGCAGCACGAGGTGCAACACCAGCGCTGCAGCACAAGACCTCCAGCAGGCCGTGCTCTTCAGGGCGTTCCCTTACCCTGAGCAGGCTGTCACAGAGCAGGAAGGCATCAAAGGGAACACAAATTACACCTTTAATAGGTATCCACGTTTTCGAGTTGTGCCAATTCTTACTCCCACAGGTTGGAGCTACCTAACTTACATTGCTAAACACCATAAGGTCAATCTGGCAGCAGCACTGCAGGAGAGTTGGTGCAAGGGATCTCAAGAAGTCTCAGCTTGTCTTGACATCAGTAAATAACCTTCTATCTTCCATCCTCTCCAAGTTTGCTGCAGCAGCAGCAGCACCCACTAACCAGCTGCACAGGCACCAGTTCCCTCTGCAGGCCCATTACATCCAGCTGAACACCCAACTCCAGCCCCAAGAATTGGGTGCAAACTGATGCAGTCAGCCTTAGTGCTGCAGCTTTTACAGCACCCAATCCTTCCCCCATCC